ATTATGTGAACATACGAAGTTGCCATTTGAGTTCTTATTGTCAACAAAGGAGGCATTCATTTGTCAACAAAAGAGGGTGGTACAGCTACTCATGGCAGGTTCACACCCAAGTAGGTTTACACTCACATTCTCCCCCTTAAACCTAACTTGGCTCGAGATTCGTCACTCCGATCATGTTTCGCATTTCACCATGTTTCACGTATGCTAAAGCCTTTGTAAAGATGTCCGCCCGTTGATCCTTCGAGTTGACATATTCCACTATAATTTGCCCACGTTCAACACATTCTCGTATGAAGTGATAACGAATGTCAATGTGTTTGCTTCGACCATGAAACACGGGATTTTTCATCAATGCGATTGCTGACTTGTTATCGACATATAAGGTGATAGGCATAATATGATGTCCCGTGAGCTCCTTCACGAGATTAGCAAGCCAAATGGCTTGACATGCTGCTGTTGTAGCTGCCATGAACTCGGCTTCACACGTGGACAAAGCAACAGTCTTTTGCTTTTGGGATTGCCAAGTTATCGCATTCCTTCCCAGATAGAAAATCATTCCACTTGTGCTCTTGCTATCAACATAACCTTCTGGTTGGGTGACATAAACCTCCTCTTTGAGATCTCCATTGAGAAAAACCGATTTGACATCGAGATGGTGGACAACCCACCCATGTTGAGCTGCTAAGGCAAGAATGAGCCTTACGGTGTCAAGTCGTGCTACCGGTGCAAAAACTTCATCAAAGTCGACTCCTTCCTTTTGTACAAATCCTTTTGCTACAAGTCGAGCTTTATGCTTCACCACTTTTCCCAAGTTGTCTTTTTTCACTTTAAACACCCATTTCAAACCGATTGCTTTGTGTCCGGGTGGCAAATCGGTAAGTTGCCATGTCTTGTTCTTCTCGATTGCATCCAACTCTGTTTGCATAGCCTCCTGCCATGCCTTAGAGGTTACCGCCTCTTTAAAATTCAAGGGTTGATCCGCTGCAATCATCAACAATTCTCCGGGTTCAAGGAACACATTTTCGGTTTCAGAATAAATATCGGTTAACGGACGCAATCCCCTTGGCCCAATCTCACTAGAAGGGCTTTCCATATGGGGTGATGTTGAAGAAAACGGGGCTGAGACAGGAGTTTGTGGGGCTGATTCAGGCTCGTCAAATTCAGCATATGGTTGTCCAACTTGGATAGCATCGATTCCTGGACTGTTTGGTTGTTCCGGATTGATTTCGGGGTCATTTTGAGGTGTTTCGAGGTGTATTTGGGGTTGTGGTTCAATTATGTTAAAGGTCTTAGGAGTCGCCATCTCTTCTTCTTTGTTTTTGTACCAATTCCATTCTTCTTTTTCGTCAAAAACAACATCGCGACTAACTCGCAACTTTCGGTCTTGCGGATCAAACAAACGGTTGCCTTTAGTTCCATCTTCCACACCTAAATACACCATCTTCTTACTTCGATCACCAAGCTTCTTCAGGTGACCACCTACAAGTTTAGCAAAAGCAACACAACCAAAAACTTTTAGATGTTCAAGGTTGGGCTTTTTGCCAAACCACGTTTCATAAGGCGTCTTGTCGGGAAGTACTTTTGTTGGCAGGCGGTTGAGAAGATAAACTGCATGTCTAACCGCTTCTCCCCAAAACTCTCCCGGAACATTTCTACCTTTGAGCAGACTTCTTGCCATGTCCATAACGGTCCGATTTCGTCTTTCTACAACTCCGTTCTGTTGAGGCGAATATGGTGTCGTAAGATGCCTTTGAATACCATTTTCTTCACAAAATAATGAGAATTCTTTTGAAGTGAACTCTCCCCCTCGGTCCGTTCGAAGTGTCTTTATTTTATAACCCGAATTCTTTTCAACCATCAACTTGAACCGTCTGAAAGCGCTCAAGGCTTGAGACTTCTCCGATAGCATGTAAACCCACATCCACCGGCTAAAATCGTCTACTAAAAGGAGAAAATATTTACTCCCTCCAACAGACGTAGGTGTGATCGGACCACATAAGTCCGCATGAACAAGTTGTAGAGGTTTTTGAGCTCGAAAAACTGCATGATCCGGGAAAGGAATTCGGGTTTGTTTGGAAAGAACGCACCCTTCACATACTTGGTTTGGGTGCTCAATCTTTGGGACTCCGATTGCCATATTCTTTTCGGACAACTTCTTTAAGGCGAGAAAGTTAGCATGACCGAGTCTAGAATGCCATATCCAAGCTGGTTCGTCTTTTGTTGCTAAAAGACAAGTCGGTCTACCGGTCCTCAAAGGAGTTTTATATAACCGGTTTGGGGATCGTTTAACTCTCAAAAGTAGAGTTTTGTTTCTGTCAAACAATGTCAGATCCGACCCATCCATTATGACCCGACTCCCTTCCTCCGTCATTTGTCCAAGACTAATAATATTGTTTTTTAGACTTGGAATGAAATATACCTCATTAAGGAGTCTTTGGTCGCCATTTTTGCTATCGAATAAAATCGACCCTTTTCCCAAAATAGCGACGGTCGAACCATCCCCAAATTTCACATGGCCCGTAACGTGCTCATCTAGTTCCCGAAACTTTGAGCGGTCTCCAGTCATGTGATTGCTAGCACCGTTGTCGAGATACCATACCTTAGACTCAACTCGACTTTCTCCCGATGCAAGAAGATTAACACAAATCTTCTCTCTTAGAGACACTTTTTTGTGTGCATATTCTTGTGAGGTTGCCATCATTAAAATAGGCTCTTCTTCGTTGGCTTGAGTGAGGTTTGCCTCCTCACCTCGATTCTTGTTTGGACACTCCGAAGCATAATGACCAAATTGTTCACAAGTAAAGCATTTGATTTTACTTTTATCCTTTCGAGAAGGATTATGGTCATTCCGATTTGTATTGTACTCGCGACCACCTCCTTGGCCACGTCCACGACCTCGGCCTCGTCCCCAGCCTCGGTTACCATGTCCTCCTCGTCCTCTTGAAGTGTTTGACGAGTTTCTCTCGCCAGTTTGCTTCGAACGAGATACCCACTCGGCATGTGTAAGCAATAGAGAAGGTCCTTCTTCTTTTTCTCCATAGCTTCGAAGTCTCTCTTCATGGGTCTTAAGACGACCCACAACTTCTTCCACCGTCATATTCTTCAAATCTCCGAATTGCTCGATCGATGTTACGATTTGTATAAATCGTATCGGTACGGCTCGCAAAAACTTCTTCACAACCGTAATTTCTTCAATCTTTTCACCTAGAGATCGAATACCGGTTACGATAGTATTCAATCTCATGGAAAAATCATCTACCGATTCACTGTCTTTCATCCGGATCACCTCGAAGTCACTTCTCAAGGTTTGAGCTTTAGCCTCCTTGACCCGATCGGCTCCCATGTGCATCATCTTGAGCGTTTCCCATGCTTCTTTAGCTGTGTCCTTCTCAGCTAACATCAGAAGTACGTCCTCTGGAATTGCTTGATAAATAGCCGCAAGAGCCATCCGATCTTTACGTTCGTCCGTTTCTGCATTTTTAATTACATCCCATACTCCTTGTGCTTGTAAATTCACTCGCATTTTTATGGCCCACACCGCGAAGTTCATCTTCGTGAGCATTGGATAGTGTAACGTAACGTTACCGTCTTTCCCGGTCCTTTGAAAACTTTCAACTCCGGCTTGAGAAGATGACGAGGTTGGTGTAGTCATTCTTGGCATATACTTGGGCATACACGAGTAAGAATATTTTTTTTTTTTTGAAGTACGGGGACCAATATGAACTTTTCAGAAGTTCAGGGGGCAAACAGAACTTTTACAGAAGTAAAACAGGGGCTAAATTGAAATTTTTCTGAAAAACGGGACCAAAATTGCAATTTTTCTGAAAAACAGGGGCCAAATTGCACTTTTCGGAAGAACAGGGGCTAAACTGCAATTTCCAGAACTTTGGTCAGCTGCTGACGTCACTGCTGATGTCACTGCTACAGTGCTGATGCAGTACCTGCTATAGTGTCGTCTTCTCCGGCGAACCCTGGTTTTTCCGGCGACTTTTCCGGCAGATTTGACCAACTTTGACCGGTGATTTGGAGGCCTTCCGGTGGTCAAAAAATTTTAAAAAAATATATTTTCGGAATCCTTAGAACGAGACCTTTCCAACGGTGTACTCCGAAATTGTTTTTGAGACAAAAAAATTTCGACCAAAAAACAGAGAATGCTTTCCCCGGAGCTTAACCAAGCTCTGATACCACTTGTTGGGGTTGAAACACACTTTTATTCAGAACTAGAACAAAAGAGAAGAGCTTACACGCTCAATATTACAAGAAAAAGAAACAACCCTCTAATACTCACTCTAAGTATTACACACTACACTCTCTGTTTGTGGTGTCTTACAACTGAGGTTAGAGCCTCTATTTATACTTAAACAAGCCTACAATTACTACTGCTACCATTTATTGTGTTCATTATGTGAACATATGAAGTTGCCATTTGAGTTCTTATTGTCAACAAAGGAGGCATTCATTTGTCAACAAAAGAGGGTGGTACAGCTACTCATGGCAGGTTCACACCCAAGTAGGTTTACACTCACAACCAAAGGCCTTGTCGGAACCTTTCAACCACTTTGATTCTGTCTAAACATACGAGTATACGACATCATACCAACAAAAGAAGCCACCTCCATTGTCGAACGTATATAGGATGAAGACCATCACCGGGTTTTGTTATGTTCGATTCTACTAGAAATCGTTAGGATTGAAGCTTCTCACATTGAATCTAATCCTGGTCTAATCTTCAAGTATCCATCAAATTATTTGTTGATTTATTATTTTCTTCATTGTTAGAGTAGAAATCAACATTAATTAAGTAAACTTTTGGTACAGTAGAATTATAGTGTTTAACGTTAAACGAGATATGTATTGTTTCTTTATCTTTTATCAACCAATAAAAATTTTGTTGTTCACAACGAATTTTATTGATTCAATTTATGCTTGACATTAAAAATTCAATTCTTCTTATATATGTATTTATCACATATTAAATGTTTTGATAGATGAATCAGAAAATGGATTCAGGTTCAAACCTGTAAGTTAGGGCTATTAGTAAAGAAGAAAGGAGTTTTGAGGTGTGTATTTATCATATATTGAATGTATGCTTTGTTTTGAATATACTTGTTAAATAATTGAAAAGTAAGTGCGGTGGTATTTGGCGAAGGAAGTATTAGGTTGAACGGTGGTGGTGGTGTTGGCCACAAACTGGTATCGATAGGTGGGTGTGGGGTGGGAGGTGGCAATATCGTCATTTCTTAAAATATATAAATAGTAAAAAGGGACAAAAAGAGGGGTAATCTCGTCATTTCACAAGCTCGTGACAGTAGCAGTCCTAGGGACCATGTATTCGACTTACAGAAACCATGTATGTAAGTTTACTATGCACAATCAATCTATAAGTTTAGTATCTGTAATTGTTGGTATCAAACCATGTTTCAAGAAGCAAACAACGTTTTAATTGCTGGTATACTATGCATAATAATCTATCTAAACTCATTGAACAAAGGAAGGAAAACAATTTCATACAAAATAGTATAATTTCTTTTCATATATGCAGTTAGAGTCAACAAAAGATCAATGATATTCTTTTCAAGTGAACAAATTTTTTTTTATTACATTTCTATTCACGCTAGCCTTAACAAAAGAAAGCAATGTTCAACAAAACCATAACAAAATATACCAACGCTCAACATAAACCATAACAAAAGATACCATCGGTCAACATAAATCATAATAAAAGATATCATTGTTCAACATATACCATACAAACATAAACCATAAATCAGAAAGCTGCTAACCTCCCCATGAATTTCCTAAACCATCTGTCCAATCACCCATGAATTTCCCCTTTTGTTATGGCATTTTCTACATGTTACTGTCATGGACCTTCTTGACAACTTACTCCCTTTTGTACTTGGTTCATCATCTAATAGAGTCGTGTTAACCTCTTTTTTTTTTTTCCAAATAAGTTGCTTGTTAACTTATTATGTTAGATTTGTGTTTGATTGTTCATTTCATTCTAGTCAATGTAAAATGTTAATTATTGATTAATTTAGAGACGTATATAATTCGTATAAATTTAACATGTGAAAAGTTACCTAAAAATGACTCATCGATTCATATACTTAAACAGATTGTATGGGTTGGGTTGAGTTGATGTTTTCAACCCGCCAACTCATATATTATATGGGTTGGGTCAATGTATTCTGACTCTTCAACCCAAACCCAACCAAATTGTCAGGAATGGTGGGCCTAAATAATTTATTTAAATAATTTTTAATAGATTAATAATAAATATATACTAAATAAAGGAAAAAAGAAATTAATTTTTAAAAATAAAGATTAATGCTCCATTTTGGCACTGCAATGGACGATTCATATAAATTATACATTTTGCATGCAATACTGTCTCATCACTGTTTGTAAAAAGATTTCAAACTGCTCATCTCATTCCTTCATTGTCACCTTAACAAAGCTTGCACCCAGTTAATTCATAATGCTTCTTGTAATCATCGTATATCGTTTAAATCACCCATAAACAATATCATTGTTTCTGCTACAAAATTCCGACAGCTATGGTGATGGTGATGGTGAGGTACGCCAAAGACTGCAGGCCAAAACCAAGCTCATCCAAACGGCAAATGTCACAGTTGAGATTACTTGATTTCTTTAATCAGAATATAAAAAACAGAGATACGAATCAATAAGCCGATAAATAAATAAGCAAAACTTCATACGCAGGCCAAAGTCGTATACCGGAAATCCGAAATGGCTCATTCAACTGTGGAGGCTGTTGTGTTGACAGCGGTGACGATGGCAATTCTCGCCGGAATTTGTTTCTATTTTTTCTACAGGTATGTTATGGCGAAAAAGAGATGGGTTGATATGAGTCTGAGAATTGGACCAGAGGATAAAATCATGGATACCCGAGAACTCCGGCAACGAGGTGGGACACTCAAAGGAGTATTGGTCGAAGAAAATGGTTTGGAAGTTCTTTATTTGAGGAAGCTCGACGGTGGGCAACTACGGACTTGCGTCTGGAATTCCATCGAAGAAGACGAGAAAAGAGTCGATACTCGACTTGATTTTTCTTCAATCGTTTCAGAATCCTTTCGAAATCCTCCTCCATCTCTTCTTCCGTCGCCAATAGTTAAATCAAAGACGACGCCGCCGCCACCACCACCACCTCCGCCTCCACCGCCACCACCGCCGTTGCAGACGCCATCAGTTCCACCGCCGCCATTGTTGCAGAAGCCATCGCCACCAATTCCACCACCGCCACCACCATCTAGAACGATAGGAACGAAAGTACCGCCACCACCGGGATTCACGAGAAGGAACGCTGTAGCGCCGCCGCCACCACCGTTGAATTTAGGAAGTTTTAGTTCATCGATGAAACCACCTACTGCACCAAAAGTAAAGGCGGATGATCGGAACGAACAAGGTTCAAAAGACAATCATCAAATCCCCAAAAAGATGAAGCCGTTCCATTGGGATAAAGTGAATACCGATGCAGATCACTCCGTCGTGTGGAATGAAATCGTCGACGGATCTTTGAGGTTCGATGACGAACTTATAGAAACCTTATTTGGATACAACGCAACAAAGAGAAACTCTTCTGAAACAAAACACGTATCTCCTAAATTCAATTCAAATCCCTCCCAATTTTCTATTCTGGATCCTCGAAAATCACAAAACACCGCAATCGTACTCAAATCTCTAGCAACTTCCCGGAAAGAAATCCTTGATGCTCTTTCAGAGGGCAGAGGATTAAACGGAGATATCCTTGAGAAATTAACAAAAATCTCACCAACTGAAGAAGAAGCTTCGAAGATTCTACAATTCAATGGAAACCCAACGAAACTCCCAGATGCTGAATCGTTTCTCTATCATATACTCAAATCAATCCCGACAGCTTTCACTCGGATCAATGCAATGCTTTTTAGATCGAATTATGATCCAGAAATATTGCATCTAAAAGAATCCCTGCAAACCCTAGAACTTGGATGCAAGGAATTAAGAGCTCCTGGGATTTTCTTGAAACTTCTTGAAGCAATTCTGAAAGCAGGTAATCGGATGAATGCTGGAACTGCTAGAGGGAATGCTAAAGGGTTTAATCTTAGTGCTCTTAAGAAACTTTCATACGTTAAGAGCATTGATGGGAAGACAACTCTCCTTCATTTTGTTGTGGAACAAGTAGTTCGAGGTGAGGGTAAACGATGTATGATAAATAATTCTAAATTTGGGAGAAGCAATAGTTATGGAAGCAGCAGAAGTGATCAAGATTCTGACACCATGATAGCAAAAGAAGAGAGGGATAGACAATATTTAATGCTCGGTTTACCTGTTCTTGGAGGATTAAGTACAGATTTCTCAAATGTGAAGAAAGCTGCCATGGTAGATTATGATAGTTTCATGAGCATGAGTCCGAATTTGTGGGGGAGGATTAGTGAGATCAGGGAGCTTGTGAAAAACTGTGGGGGAGGTGGATTTGTGAAGGAGATGAAGGAATTTCTAGAAGAATGTGAAGAGGAGCTTAAGGTTGTGAGGGATGAACAAACTAGGGTTATGGAGCTTGTGAAGAAAACTACAGCTTTTTACCAAATTGGATCTTTGAAAGGGGGACATGCCCTTCAAATATTTGATTTTGTGAAAGATTTTCTTGATATGGTGGATCAAGTTTGTGTAGATCTTAGAGGGAAAGTGAAGAAGAAGAATGTGAACAACATTGGACCTTCATCACCACGAATGTCACCATTGATGTTCCAAAACTTGCAGTATTTTAAACCTGGAAATTGTAGTGATTCAGAGGATGACTTCTGAAATGATTCTTTTAGTATCATTCCTTTTTTTTTCACATGAAGAAAAAGAGAATGTTGTATTGGTTGCTGATTGTTCCATTGTATCATTCAATCGAATAAGTTCCTGGTTTCACAAACTATGATTGTTGCACAACACTTTTCATGAGGTGTTAGAAAGACACGTTAGGAAAGCTTACCGATGAAATTTTAAGCATGCGGCTGTCCAAACACCAAACCCGATTATTTGGAGGTCCGATACACAAGGCTAGGATTTTCCAAGCTCAAAAATCATTTTATGGAAGCTCAATTTTTAATTATTCATTTCTCCAAGCCGAATGATGATCGAGGGGGAGCAACATAGACATAAAATTTGCAAGGTGACTTGAGAAATATTCTAATCATTTATGCACATATGCACCCAATGTGAGTCCAATGATGTATTGAGATGTGAAATTCTATAAAAAGGGTCTAGAGTTCAAATATTGACACCCAATTATTGTTAATGTTTTGCCATTTATCCCCATGATATACGGGTCATAGGGCAAGACGGCATGGGCCGTTTGATACTGGTCAATTTTTTTTTTTTTGGAAACGGCAAATGATTAAACGGAAGCCTACTCGCATATTTCAACGAGCACCCCGGGTTCGAGCTCCTTTACAGGGCAAACCCAGCCCCCATAGGGGTTTCCAGGGAAATTTTCCCCACATGTGGCACAAGTTTAAAAGGCACCCAAATTGGGTTTTGCAGAGATTGAACTCTCGACCTCTGACCCCACGTGGGTATTAAACCCGGTACCTCTTCCCAGCTAGGCTGGAAGTCATTGGTTGGTCAATTTAATTAAGATAACAATTATTGAGTTGGAAATGTTTGATTATCGGGTCGGTTGTCATTAGTATCGCCTAAGACAAATATGTTCTTAATTTTAATACAACGATCAAACTTGCAGTTGCTCATGACTGAGTATTCAAAATTTGAAAACAAATTGTTGTTAATACTAACACCTGTATTATTATTATTTTTTTGTTATTAATAAGGTTTTTGTTTTTTTTTTTTTTTTTTTTTAATTTCTCTTTTGCTTTTTTTTTTCTCTCTTACATTCCATATTATAGTTTTTAATTATTCATTAGGTTAATGGAACAACATTCAAGATATATTTTGATACCTACAAAAAATATATATTTGTTTGTTGACCACCTCTTGATACAATTGTATATTGACTTGGTTTATCACAAATTTTATTTTATTTGTTTATGATTTATAAGAGTGTCCATCTGAAATATTGATATAATCTCTCTTTTTATTTCTCAAATCAAGGATGTCCAAGACACCCTTAAAGTCTATATGACATCTCCCTTGCATATTTTATGTAGGGATAATGACTTGAAAGGGTAACGAACTTTCGATTTTGTTCACATTTAGTCACTAAACTTTTTTTCGTTATCTATTTGACATTAAACTATTGAAACTGTTCACATTTTACCCTTATGACCGGCTGTTACCGGTCATAAGGGTAAAATGTGAACAGTTTCAATAGTTTAATGGCAAATAGATAACGAAAAAAAGTTTAGTGACTAAATGTGAACAAAATCGAAAGTTCGTTTCCCTCTAAAAAGTTCAATGACTAAATGTGAACAAACTTCCTCTTGTATTATGTTTTAGCAAATTATTTATTTTTGTTAAATTATAGAAACATTTGTTGATGAAGAAATCTATGAAATAAAAAAAAAACAAAACTCCGAAAAATATATTAAAAAAACGAAAAACCGAAACCGAAATAAAAAACCAATGGTTTGGTATTTTCCAAAATAAAAAATCATAATTTTCCAATCTGATTTGGTTTTAAAAAAATTCAACTTTCTGATTTCCATATCTAAATCCCTCCCCCTTTTATAATCGGAAAATGATTATAAAACCAAAAAGGGAATGAAAAAGCGCTCAATTCAGAATTTTCTATCTAAAACTCCTCCTTTATGACATGAGAGATAGAGAGAGACATGTAAACATCTCTATATAAGGTGAGTTCATACCACATGTAGAAGTGTGCTTTTGAGATGTAACATTGAGAGTGTTAGTGTGTGTTAATTATGTAGATTTAGATCTAGATCCTTTTTTGTAAACATCTTTCATAATCGAATGCATCTCTTAAACACCCAAATCACCGTGTTCTTTAATTCCGAATGTCAAACCAATGGTCATAATTCACATCAGTGAGAATAGTTCATTTTTTTGTAAAACCAAAATCAGATTGGAAATTTTGATTTTTTATTTTGGAAAATGTCAAACCATTGGTTTTTTATTTCGGTTTCGTTTTTTTTTTTTAAATATATTTTCAAGGTTTTGTTTTTTTATTTCATAGATTTCTTCATCAACAAATGTTGCTAGAATTTAACAAAAATAAATAATTTGCTAAAACATAATACAATAGGAAGTTTGTTCACATTTAGTCATTGAACTTTTTTAGAGGGAAACAAACTTTCTATTTTGTTCACATTTAGTCACTAAACTTTTTTTCGTTATCTATTTGTCATTAAACTATTGAAACTGTTCACATTTTACCCTATGACCGGTAACAGCCGGTCATAAGGGTAAAATGTGAACATTTTCAATAGTTCAATGGCAAATAGATAACGAAAAAAAGTTTAGTGACTAAATGTGAACAAAGTCGAAAGTTCGTTACCCTTTCAAGTCATTATCCCTTTTATGTATGGCTCATGCTACCCGATGTAATTCTCCTCACTTGGAAGAATAAAGCCAAGTATGACCTAACGTAATCTCGCAAAATACCATTTAAATGTTGGTAACAAAAATATTACTTGGAAGTTTTTTAGGTCTCGCAAAAATCTTGAAAATCACTTCAGATAATTATTCTTTAAAGTTCTTCAATATCATACACGTGTCTCCAGCAAATTGGTGATGGCGGCACACATCCTACTTCAACAGAAATAGGTATTAGGAATAATTTAGGATGAAGGGTATGAATCATTCTCTCTCTTCCACATCGATCATTGGTCAAATATTTTTTTTTTCTTATATGATAATCATAGCAAGATGTAAAAACACCAAAACAATATTGTACAAGTATGTAATGTAGTGAGAAGAATGCCAAGACGGGATACTCTTCCCATGAGTGAGATTTTTTAAGTACATCAAGATCAAGAATTGTGTTCATTTGTGGTACATAAACGCCACATGGGACATCCCTTCCCATCCCCAGAGGCATACCATGCACCCTTATCTTCGTTATTCAAGGATCCAATGAAGTTCTGTTGTACATCTCAATGTGATGTGTTCAAATATTTGAAGCATGATTTTTAAATATACTAATTCATGTTTTCTTTTGTCATTCTCTAATGTTCAAAACAAACGAGATGGTTAGATATGCTCATATGTATTGCGGGTCAAATCGCATTTTACCAAACATCCGCACGTTGCGTCTAAAGTTTGTTGAGACCATAACTCATTTCATTAAATTAGTGTGTACACATTAAAAGAAATAAATAACAAAATTACAATAAACATCATAACAAGTTCACAACACATCCAAAAACAAAAGGAAATCGAGAATCATAAATCCTGGAGCCCGGGGATAATACCTTAAAAGAATTGGCAATTCAGGTATATCATTCTTTAGGCAGTTTAACAAATAATTGGTAATTCAGAAGTATTACCTAACGTATTGCAGGTGGAACCAGTCAACTTTCTTCACATGGCTGTGATCCTCTATACCTGCAGCATTACGTAAGAACTAAGATCAAATCCCTCTCGAATCCTGCCTTCTTTCTATATAACCTTTTGCTCACCTTCTTTCTCACACCAAAAACAAACACATGTTAGATGTCAATACACTTATACCATACATAGCTAAGGTACTTCAAGTAACAAAATGGTGCCCCATCCAGACCTTTGTGTATCTGATTTACATAATGTGGGCCCTTATATCAGCTTAGATCAATGGTTGCTGGAATAATAACTTTTTTTTTGTGTCAAAATGACTATTATGTTGGGGAACAAGTTTTAGGCATTAAATTTAATGGCGAATTAAATATAAAAATATTTATAGATGGCTACTGGAATGAAGATGGATGTATTGAATTTCTATACCACTTTATGTATCCACATAGCAACTAGTTGTGTGTCTATAAAACCATATATTTGCTAATATATAGAAATATAGATCAAACTCATAAGAGAACTGACATATACTGTCTATATTGACAAACCTAGCACTACTGCCGGTGTCTAAAAGTGTACCCAACCAAACCAAACAACCAAAGACTGCAAATGAAAAAAGAAGCCCCATCATAAGCAACCATAGACACACACTACTTTTAATGACAACTAGGGTTCATGCTGTGACAACGACCAAACTTTGAAGAAGCTGCATTTCCATGGCTCTCATACTGCTTCCGGCACCCTGGACAACGCCCATTATCTTCAAGGATTCTTTTATGGCAGAAAAGACAGAGTCGATAACCACATGGACATGGAAGAAAACTTGAATCTGTCATGTCCAGATCTTCACAACATATAGGACAAGAAGAAGGAAATGCACTACTCCCTGATTTCATCGGGAAACTATTTTGTTTTACTAGATTTGGGAGACTCTGAGGGCGGGAAACATCGTCGGGTCTCCATGCCCGGAAATTGGTACTACCTGCCGGAGTCAACACAGGTTGCTCTGGCTCAGGTGGGGTGAGAGGATGTTCATCGACAGGTGACTTCTGAATGTCATCGGCTGCTGCAAGAGCATCGGCTATAGCTTCCCAATCATCCAAGCATCCATCATCCTCGTCATCTTCTTCATCTGTCATGCTTCCTGAACAACAATCGCCGCTGCTACTGCTACTTCCGCAGCTGCTTCTGCTGCTACTACCGGTGAAGTTAGTAACGGATATGTTGCTTTCGGAGACGCTACTTGTATGACTGGTAGGACTGTTGGAGGGAGATTCGGAATCACTGTAATTATTCATCAAACTCTCGTTCTCTTCCCCACCAACACTGATTTCCAATTTCACGATCGGATGCTCTCTCTCTGTTGCTGCATGTGTCTCTGTTGTTGCATGTGTCTCCGGAGCAGGCATTTTTGTAACACGAGTAGCTTTTGTTTCTTCTTTGAATCCCCTGTTCTTAACTGTAAATCAATCGACTAATTAGTGAGAAACAGTAAACCTTATCGCTTACTAAGCACACAAAATTGAAAATTCAACCGTGTGGATAGTAGTATATAACACAGCATATATGAGATAGATAAGAATAAAAAACCTTGAGAAAGCCACTGTTCCCGACGAACGTCAAGCTTGCTCTGCTTCAATTTAGCAGTCCTGTTCACCTTCAATCCGAAACAGAACAAGCAAAATTAGGTTGAAATTGTGAAAATAACAAGAACAATTAACGAACACGTTTCTTCCGTAACTATCAATCAATCAAAAAAACAAACCGGAGAAAGAGTAATCAAGATGTAAGATAGACAAAATACCCTCTTTTTCTTTCCAAAATCCTTGGAGTTTGATGCAGCAGTGGGGATCGAAGCGTTAGCAATCGAATCGTACACCATGGTTGAAAGTTCTTGAAAAAAACCCTAAGGGAGTCGGATTGGAAAAAGGGTGGAAGAGAAAACGAAATCAAAACGCAAAATATCTCGAAGATTGCAGATGGAAATGGAGAGAAAGCGATGGATGTGATGATTTGAGAGATTGAGAGAAGATTGATTTTCTGGTGCGTCTCTGGATAGATAACGGCTCTGCTTCGTTCGTCCCTCTTTTAGCTACACGCAGACTCTCTCTCTACCACCAAACTCCTAATTATGAATGTATAATTACATATATGTCCTCAAGTTACAGCTTAATTTCTACTCATGCCACTAAATTAGATGGGTTACATTTGGTAATTTACGGGCCTAAATTGTGAAAGTGTAATTGATTATTACCTTTTGGAAACATGTCTACCTTTAGTTAATTATTGACTTTTTTTTTTTTTTTGGCATTTATGAAGCCATCATGTAAACATAAGACCCCCCCCCCCCCCCCCCCCCACAATTGATTTTGTACACACCTTCAATTCTTGTAGACTCTATTGTATTATTCTCTTTGAAATCGATAATCCTTCCTTCAATTATGAGCAAGATTCGAGTTACAGTGTCTTAACTCGAAAATTAAACGTTGAACTGTGAGATTATAGAGTCAAATCATTGACATTTACACCTCGTTCCCAAGTTCAACTTAACGAGAGAAAAGAAAATAAATGAATGAAAATGAGAAGAAAATAAAAGAAATTGATGTTCCTAAGTTTCATTTACGGAATGAAGTGAAGGGAAATGAAATGATCATTTTCCCTCCTAACTTTCCTTCCGATTTGGAAGGATTTAGAAAGAAATAACAAAATGACTAATTTTCCTTTCACTTATCTCCAACTCGGGAACACAAAAGATAAATTTCATTTCCTTTTCTTTCTCTTCTTTTCTCTCATTACTTTCTTTTCTTTTTTCTTCTTTTCTTTGCTTAAACCCGGGAACTATTTGATAGGAGGCACATCAACGAGTTCAGTGAGGTTAACATGGATGTTAGGCATATTTAAGATTACGAAGAACCAAAGATGGGATGAGTCTTATCATGGGAAAATAAGCAAAATAGTTAGTACAGAGAAGTGGTTGGGACATAAAGCCATTTGAAGTAGAGACTTCGATGAGAACATTGGAGGCGCAAGTCAAGGATGTTCATCAATACTTTAGATGGATCATTGTATACATATATACCTAACGGTGTGAAAAGTGTTGGTTTTCATGTTCATAAAACAAACAAATAAATTGTGGTAATGTTTATATGTGAACTAACCGGGTCACACACTTATGTGCATTAAGAGAATATATAAATAATAATACTTAACGTGTATAAATATCTATGATTTATCAACCATTAACAAATAAGAATAAAGAGTTTTTTTTTTTGAATAACCGAAATGAAAATTAAGAGTTGATTTGTATTTATTAAGAGATAAAATAAATAACCAATTGTGTATTTAATTAATTAAAAGTTTTGTTAATTAATTAGCGTTAATTAAGAGATCATAATAAGAATTTTGAGTTTTATTTGTTACACGATGAATACTTTTAAGAAAAGCACATAATCAACATAAATAAATAAGGGCTTTGACATATCATTTTGAGTATGAGACAAAAATTGTCAAAATCCTAACATCTATTTTTTAGAGGAAACCCTAGCAGCCAAATACCTTCGTCTCTCTCTCTCACACACACACACATACCAATTGGCGACGTGATCAAGCGAGATAATAAGAAGGTGCTGTTCAGTTGGTAGTCTAGAAGATGTTGTTTCTACTTTGTGATGATTAACCATAGAGGATATCCATCTTAACAAGTTGTCTCTAATCTAATGTGAAGTTCTAAACACACTATGGGTTGATAAAATTTTTATTTATATTGTTCTAAATGGATCCATGACTATGAGATTGGCTGAAATTTTTAATCTAGTTAAAGATTATGTTGCTTTGTACTTTGGTGTATGTATTTGTACACCAATTCCCAACAAATAGCGCCTTTAATATTTTTTATGGTGATCTATGTCTATAGATTCATGGCTTGAAAGAGATGCTCTGGAAAATATAAAGTCGTGTGATGATGTAAGGAGCTCTCCATCTTAAGTCGATGGATACAAGGTGCACAAATCTATGGAACTTTATGCAAACATGTTATAGTCCATATGTTGAAGTTCTTGATGTTAGGTTCATAAAGATTATAACAATTATACAAACACAATGAAAGTTAAAAAAGCATAAAACTAAAAAGACTCCACCAACAAAGATTGGCCATAGTATTATATATGCATTAATACAACAACCATAATATGTCATAGAGGTTCTCACCTTTAGGTTCTAATTCGCCAAATGTAGGATTAAATAATCTTCATACTTTAGGGACCGAAGTTTCTTCCCTCTATTGATATCCATTCTATATAAGGTTATGTTGCCAATAAATGGATGCTAACTCCACATAAGAATTAAGAATAGTCAATAATGTTTATGAATCCTAAAGCCCAATGGAAACCCTCAATAAGTCATACAAATAATTGCACAAGGGCCACATAGAATCTTCACACTTAAATACCACAAAATTAGGAATTTTCCTAGGACCGAATCTAGTAAGTTCTAGGTTGGACCAAGACATAAAATAATGCATTTTGCATCGATGTTGGTAATTCCTATTTGCCTCATTTATGTAACGACCCGAATTTTTCCATCTAAATATTTTGGGGATTTATCAGAGTTTTCTATAAAAATACGGAAATCTAAACTCAAAAACATTTACATCCCAGGATATTATTGTTGGTTTTTTACATGTAATAATGCAAAAAAAAAAAATACATTATACTCCTAAGGGTACATGCAACCTAATTTGATCTATGTCATAAAACTATTGAAGCAACATACTATTGAACAACAAAATTTCTGAACCCTAATGGAAATTAAAATTCACCAAAGAATAACTTACCTCTGATTTTTTATTGCAAACAAACCCTTTGATCCAACTAGATCAATCCAATAGTCTCTTGAAAACTAGCTTCAGTTATGTGCAAGCCTCTAATGGTTCACACCCACAACACAATAACTCTAGAGAGATTAGAAGAGAGAGGAAAGAGGGGCAAAATTTCGGATCTGGTGTGGAGGAAAAGCATGGCCTAAAATTTCCTAGGTATAAGGCCCTATTTATAGCTGATTAGGAAACACCTGGAAACCCTAATTTGAACATAAAATACTATTATTTCAAATAAAACAGTTATCTAGTTCCTTGATTATCTACATGAAAGCTTCCAGAAGGCTCCAAGAGGAGCCTCTAAACCGTCCAACAGAGGAAGGTTCTAGAACCTGTCCTCTGCTCAACTTTTGAACAATTACAACTATAATCCTTCAAATTTTAATTAATTCTAATTAACCCATAATTAATTCCAAATTAATTCTAATTAATTCTAAATTAATTACAACTATTTCTAATTAATATATCAGTGTAACGCTCTGTTCCGAATCGATTCCTAATTCGAGGCTGTGGCCTGAAGATCGGTTATCATAAGGCTTAGGGCCTTTGAAAAGGTGAGATCTAGACCCATTTGGGTGCGAGTAATGTAATTGAAGTGATTCAGATGTTCGGTTTGTGTTTTGGAGCCTAGGGGGTATTTCGATAAAGTGTTAATTCGGGCTTTTATGGAAATTGGATTTTTGTTCGGAAGGTCTTAAGGTTGGTGATGCGACTTCGGCTCCGACCACTTGCTCTGAACGGGTGCTTCTACGCCGGAGACGGATCTGCGAGGTCACAACAGAGAGACGCGTTAGAGCCGCCCCAGGGACTGTACCCCGGGAGCGGACTCCGATGGTCAAGTTAGATTATCTGGTAGATCTGAGATGGCTCTCTTTAGCTAGAGAGAACCATCTTGGTGCTGGTGGTGGTGTATGGTGGCTGACGGCGGTGGGTGGCGGCTGAGCCACCCAACCGGAGTATAGTGTGGCGGCTGAGCCATGGGGAGAGGTCTAGTGGCGGCTCCGCCACTTGGGGGAGAGTCCAAGGGAAAAGTCTTAGGGAAAAGGGTCCTCCTTCATGGAGGAGGCACTATTCTATTTATAGCGGACAATTAGGTCAAGGGGAATTGGTTCAGGCCTTGGGCCAGCCCAATTCAGGCCCAACTAGCAAGGATTTGGGCGAGGCTGCCCGGAGGCGCCGGGCGGGGCTGGCGAGCGCGCACCAGGCAAGGCTGGCGGGCGCGCACCAGGAAAGGCTGGTAAGGGAGCGCCAGGCCGGGCCGGCAGGAGAGTCCCCAACGAGGCTGGCAAGGGAGTCCCCAGCAAGGCTGGCAAGGGAGAGCCAGGCCAGGGAGCGCCAAGCCGGGCCGGCGGGGGAGTCCCCAGCAAGGCTGGCACGGGAGTCCCCAGTGATGCTAGCGGGAGCGCACCAGGCAGGGTTGGCACGCTAGAGTGGTCTAGGTCATGCTAATAGACCATACATCATCAGTTGGTATGAGTTAATATAAGTGTAGGGCTTCTCGTTACATTTCCATGGATATAAAGTTCGTTGGAAACGGACTTATAACGAAAAAGTTATGGCCTTCAGAAGTTTGGTGGTTTTTAAGGTTTAGCCGGGTACGCGGGGCGTACACAAAGGGTACGCAGGGCGTACTAGTGAAGAGAGTAGTACGTGGGGCGTACCTTGGCGTACGCTGGGCGTACTGAGCAGGATGGTCGCGGGTGCTCTTCGGAGTACGCTGGGTGTACCATATGTACGCAGGGCGTACTCCAATCTGACACAAACCCTATTTTAGGGTCTTGGACCCTATTTAAACTCCTTATCTCATAGCCTAACCCTAATATCTTCAGCCTCCATCCCTCTAAACCCTAGAAATCGACCCTTAGCCCCCATTTGAGTGATTTTATAGCTTCAACGTGATTTATGTGTGTTTTGGTGCTTGAGGAGGAAGAAAGAACTTCTTGAAGAGTCATTGCTTGACTTGGAGCTTTTGTATCCAGGCTTTGTGCACCTAGATCTAACTTTTGGAGGTATAAAGTCTCAACCTTGACAACTCTTTCTTTTAGATCTAGCTAGGTGGCACCTTGTTATGATTTTGGTCCCTTTGAGGTAGTTCTTGTGAGTAGAAGTTACTCCAGAACCTTTGAGCTTCATATTTGGCCTTTGTTGGGGTTATGAAGTCATAAAGTTTGGATTTGATGAGTATTAACCTTCCATGCATGATTTGGTAGTCTTTTGGTAAAGTTTGGGACTTAGGGT